CGAAACGCTGTCCCTAGAGTCGCTCAGTAGGTACAGCTGCAGGTCGTCGAGCCACGTGTCAAACTGGATCAGGCGGCCCTCATGGTCGAACGCGAGAACGCGGAGAGAAGCCATAGTGGCGCAGCACGCAGGGTGGGCAGAAGCCGGGCAACGCAGGGAACAGGGCAGGCAGCAGCAAGGGGCGGCAAGCGGGCTGGAAGAGGCGGAGCGCAGGCTGCAAGAGGCTGCGAGAGGGCCGCAAGGGGCGGCTAGCAGGGCAGCAGGGGCGGCTAGAGAGCCACCAGGGGCGGCGTGCGGGGCTGCAAGGGTGGCTCGCAGGCTGCAGGGGCGAGGGGCGGGCCACAAGGGGCAACGTGAGGGGCCTGGGGTCGACGGGCGGGCCGGGTAGGGTCGACGGGCGGGCTCGCGGGGCAGCAGGGTCTCCGGGCGGGCCGGGGCCTAGGGGCGACGGGCGGGCCGGGGCCTAGGGGCGACGGGCTGGCCGGGGCCTAGGGTCGACGGGCGGGCCGGGCTAGGGTCGACGGGCGGGCGCGCGGGGCAGTAGGGTCGACGGGCGGGCCGGGGCCTAGGGGCGACGGGCGGGCCGGGGCCTAGGGTCGACGGGCGGGCCGGGCTAGGGTCGATGGGCGGGCGCGCGGGGCAGCAGGGTCGACGGGCGGGCCGGGGCCTAGGGGCGACGGGCGGGCCGGAGCCTAGGGGCGACGGGCACGCGGGGCCTAGGGTCGACGGGCGGGCCGCAAGGGGCGGGCGCACCGGGCCTAGGGTCGAAGGGCAGGCCGCAAGAGGGCGGCGCACGGGGCAGTAGGTGCGGCACGAGGGCTGCAGGGGCGGCACGAGGGCAGCTAGTGGGGCAGCTCTGTGGTGGGCCCTAGAAATAAAACGGTCCTAGCGAAGGACCTGCTATGAAACCATGTCAAACTAACGAACGAGAATGAATGAACTATGAAACAGTTGGGTACAAGTACTAACCCTAATTGGGTTGTACACCTTATGGGCTACCCCACTATAGTCTACACAAAGCAAGCAATATAACATTTTGACACCACCGCTAGCCCCACTCCCCATTCTCATTCGCCTCCCTGACTCGGCCCCCACCTCTCAACCCCACCCAAATCGCCCGCAGTGTATGGCCTTGCACTTGCAAGTGTGTGCTCTCATGCAAGCTCACGGGTGGTGCAAAGTCCTTCACTCTTTCTCTCCATTCCCCTTCCACCCAATATCAAGTTCACCCCCCCAGCTTCTTGGCCCGGCAACTACAAAACTTTGCTGCTACCCATAACCTCGCAGATCATGTGCTGCCGCTCTACCACCACCAGCATAAGTGCGTACCCTCCATTCTAGCTCACAACTTCACTTGCCTCCCCCTCTGTCCCCCTCTCAGAGCATGGCCGTGTACCTGCCTGTATTTGCCCTCACTCAAAGCCTGGCGACGCGGGTGCACAAGCTGTACTACCGCTCCGGGGTCACGTCCTTTTCTCCACCTTGCCCCCCATTGCCTTGTGCGCCCTTGTCCCCCCTTGCCCCTCTCTCACCCCCGCCAGCGCTCTACACGCCGCTGCGCCATATACGACTGCCTTCTTATCATGCTCACTGTAGCATTCTTGCATCACCCACTCCTGCCTTATTAGTTTGAGCACTGATGGCTTCGTGTTTCACTCTCTGCTGGCCTCTTATTTCACACACACCTACCTCGTTAGTGCGTTCACTGCTGCCGCTGCCCCCATAGTAGGCTCACTGCTGCCATGTCACTGCTCACATCTGCCTTATTATCTCACTGACTACAGCCTTCATATTTCAAACACGGCCTCCATATTGCACTCAGTGTTCCTAAATCACTCGCAGCTCCCTTCAAGTTTCACTCACTGCTGCCTTAGTACTCCACTCACTGCTGCCTTAGTGATACACTCACTGCTGCCTTAGTGATTCACTCACTGCTGCCTTAGTGATTCACTCACTGCTGCCTTAGTACTCCACTCACTGCTGCCTTAGTACTTCACTCACTGCTGCCTTAGTGATTCACTCACTGCTGCCTTACAGATTCACTCACTGCTGCCTTAGTAATTCACTTATTATTTTTTTATAACACTTTGCTCACTGCTACCATTCCATTACTCTAACTTATGCCGTTCCATTACTCGCTAGACTGCCAGCCCATTACGCTCATTGCAGCCATTCCATTTCACTCACTGCTGCCATCCCACTACACTCAGTGCTGCCGTTTCACTACGTTCACTGCTACGAAAGGACTGCTGCCTTTGCATGTCAATCTCTGTTGCCACTGAGAACAATAGCGCCACGCGCAACTACCGGGCCCCCGGGGGGGTCGGCCAGTGTGACAAGGACAGGGACTGCGAGCGGTGTGACTGTGGTGCTGTCGCGAAAGAAGCAACGAGACGTGCCTGAGTCAAGAGTAAAAGTGTGCAAGGCCTCCTCAGGCTCTGCACCTGCGCTAGCTAAGTCAACAACACCAAAACTAGCAGCCTCTACAGCTCTAGGTGCCTCTACACCCTCAGTACGAGTACTCCGAGACCCTCAGCCACCAGGGCTGCCCCACCAGACAGCCCACTCACGAAGCTGCTACGGGGAGAGTCTCCGGCAGACGCTGCTGCTGGTGCTGCTGTCCACCCCCAGAACCTCCGCGACTAACAGCGGCACTACCAGCAGGAGTAGACTCACAGGGACCTCCAGTAGCAGCACCCCAGGCTCCGCCACCGGGGCTGCCCCACCGGATAGCCCACTCACGACGCTGCTGTGGCAAAAGCGGCTTCCGCCGACAAACACGGCTAGCTCCGCCACCGGTGCTGCCCCACCAGATAGCCCACTCACGAAGCTGCTGCGGCGAGAGAGACTCCTACATACTCGACTGCCGCTGACGTAGGACAGTGGTAGTGGCCATGGCAGGCAGTGGCAGCATTAGCAGTAGCTGCGCAGCAGCAGTAGCACAGGCGGCAGTAGCAGCGTAGCAGCACTTGGGGGAAGGTGGCGCTAGTGCGGGACAGGGCAGCGTTGGGCAGCGCACGCGGGTGGCAGCAGCACCTAGGGCGGCAGCACCTAGGGGCACAGCACCTAGTGCAGCAGCAGGCGGCAGCACCTAGGGCGCCAGCAGCAGGCGGCAGCACCTAGGGCGCCAGCAGCAGGCGGTAGCACCTAGGGCGGCAGCAGAAGGCGGCACCACCTAGGGCAGCGGCACCTAGGGCGGCAGCAGCAGGCGGCACTTGTGCGCGTGCAGGGCAGGCGCGGGTCGTTGGGCAATAGGGCGCGCTGGGCGCTGGGCAGCAGGGCGCGCTAGTGCGCAGGGCAGCAGGCGCGCTGGCGCGCTGGGCAGCGGGGCACGCTGGCGCCCGCAGGGCAGGGCAGAGCGCTTGGGGTAGCGTGGGCAGGGCAGGGTGAGGGACGATGTTCGGGCAGGGCAGGTATGACCGGGCAGGGCAGTTCGGGCTGTGCGAAGCTAACGGTGGGCCCTAACGGGGCGGTCCTACGGAGGGACCTGCTCTGAATACCATGTTAGAACTAACGGGCAAGAATTATTGACTAGAATGGAAGATGAGTACAAGTAGGTCTAACCCTAAAGTGTTGTACTCAGTAGAGTCTACCCCACTACAGCCTACAGACATACAAATGCAATTTGACAGGGTCAGGAGGGGTTGTAATTATGGAGGATGATTCATTGCTTCTGGGAAAGAGGGTGGATGTGGCGGTGCGGAGTCCTAGAGATGGCGAGGCGCACGCGCTTGAGGTCATCGTTGTTGACCCCATCTCCCTGCCTGCGCAGCAACACGGGCAGATTGGCTGCATGGTGGGTTTCGCAACTAGGGAGAGGGAAAAGCGGAAGGCGGCGGATTACAAGCCTCTGTTACAGTAGCATAGGGGAATGCACTGTCAGAAGACCAGCACTGGGGATCCCCGATTGATCCTAGCGAAGGGTTACAGGCATGTTGACTTGGGGGGTTATGGGCACACTGACGCGCTGCTTAACAAGCCATTTTATCCCAGTGGTCTAGTGGTTGGGATTTTGACGTGGTATCAGAGCGAGAAGTATCGGGTTCGAATCCCCATGTGCTGATTGATCCTAGGGAAGGGTTACAGACATGTTGGCCTGGGGGGTTATGGGCGCACTAACCCACTACTTAATAAGCCATTTTATCTTAGTGGTCTAGTGGTTGGGATTCTGACATGCAGTTCACCCCCCTCATTGTAGAGACGAAGGGTTGCCTGGAAGGGAGCTTTGGGCGGTGGCTTAAGCGGCAAGGTGACGCACAGCTGCATGCAGCGGAGACTAGAGGGGCGGGGAGGGGTTCTGGAAAAGGGATTGTCGGCGTACCTGTTTGGTTCACTTAGGGGTGCCATTGGGGTGGCTTTGCAGCGGGCCCAGGCGCGCGTTATCCTCTTTCGTGCAGCTTCCATGATGAGGGGCCCGGAGGTAATTTGGGCAGAGCGGGAGGATGTGGAGCAGGACGTCGGGTGGGATGCTTCATGGGCGGATGCGCCCTATATGGTGGACATGCGGGTGTAGAGGTTGAGAGGGGTGTGGCAGCACTTCCTCGAAGTTTGTCGTAGTGGTCCCCGTAAGGTTTTGGATTTTGGCATTCTCTGGTGCCACACCATTTTGTTGTGCTCTCACCCTCTCTGCACCCCCACTTTCTTGGCCTCACTCTTTCTGCTGCCTAGCTAAACTCCGTGCTTTTGTACAAAAAAAGACCACGTCTGCTTCCAGGGTGGTCCCTCTGTCCCATATCCACTTTCAGAACTTAGTTATGCTCAACATTAGATTTCCCTCGTTTAGAAACATAATCGAATCACGCTGTATGGCTGGCTATAAATCTTTGTGGCAACCTCTTAGTACGGACAGAACCGCTTTGCGTCACACGCTTCCCGCCTCGCCCTTCTGGCTCTATTTCACCTTCTTTTCAGTCGACATTACATAGTGCGTTTGTTTCCGTCCGCGCCCGTCGCGCACTCCTTGTCCATTTCCGCCGTCGGAATCACTCCCCGCCCGCGCAATGCCAAAGATCTCGCCCATCAAGCAGCTCGCCGACGCTCACGATGACGGAATCTGGGCCGCCGCGTGGGCGCCGCCGACGGACGCGCGGCCGCAGGCGGTGCTGCTGACGGGATCCGTCGACGAGTCGGTGCGCGTGTGGGCCGGCGACGAACTGACGGCTGCGCGAACGAACAGCGGTCACACGCTAGGTGAGGCGACAGGGACAGGCGACATGCGACAGACGACAGGCGACAGGCGACAGGCGACAGGCGACAGGCGACAGGCGACAGGCGACAGGCGACACGCGACATGCGACAGGCGACACGCGACATGCGACAGGCGACACGCGACATGCGACAGGCGACAGACGACATGCGACCCTCACCTCGCTCCCGCCTTCGTCTACTGTGTGTCTTTTGAGACGTCCCAGCACTATCCCTCCCTCGCGCCGTTCCTCCCCACACCCCTCACAAGACGTCCCATCCCAGCACCATCCCTCGCTCCCTTCTCCCCACACCCCACACTGCACACTGCGCACCGCTCGCAAGACGCCCCAGCACCATCCCTCCATCGCGCCGTTCCTTGAGTCGTGGTGGCCCTAGCCGCGTGTGCATAAAACTAGCGGCCGCCACCCTCCTCACTGCACTGGACGTCATTTCTCCCCTTGCATTCATTCCACCTCTCCAATACCTCTCTCCCTTCCCTCCCACCAACACCTCTCCCCCTTCCCTCCCACCAACACCTCTCCCCCTTCCCTCCCACCAACACCTCTCCCCCTTCCCTCCCACCAACACCTCTCCCCCTTCCCTCCCACCAACACCTCTCCCCCTTCCCTCCCACCAACACCTCTCCCCCTTCCCTCCCACCAACACCTCTCCCCCTTCCCTCCCACCAACACCTCTCCCCCTTCCCTCCCACCAATACCTCTCCCCCTTCCCTCCCACCAACACCTCTCCCCCTTCCCTCCCACCAACACCTCTCCCCCTTCCCTCCCACCAACACCTCTCCCCCTTCCCTCCCACCAACACCTCTCCCCCTTCCCTCCCACCAACACCTCTCCCCCTTCCCTCCCACCAACACCTCTCCCCCTTCCCTCCCACCAACACCTCTCCCCCTTCCCTCCCACCAACACCTCTCCCCCTTCCCTCCCACCAACACCTCTCCCCCTTCCTCCCTCCCGATACACACTCCAGGCGTGGTGGCCCCGGCTGCCTCTCCATCCGGATTGGATTGCTTCGTGCGGAATGCACATGTCGATCTCAACTCCACAATTGCCTTCCTCGCCTCCCCTCTGCTCCATGCCCCCCAGGAGTGGTGGCTATAGCCACCTGCCCGACCACCTCACGAGCAGCGTCCTCCTCCTTAGACTGCTTCTTGCGGGTCTTTGATGTTGACTCCAACGCCACCACCCTCACTCCCCTGCTCTGTCCCCTCCTTTCACTGCTCCAGGAGTGGTGGCTATAGCGGCCTGTCCAACCACCTCGCGAGCAGCATCCTCCTCCTTAGACTGCTTCGTGCGTGTGTTTGACGTTGACTCCAACGCCACCATTGCCACCCTCGAAGCCCCCCCTGCTGAGACATGGCACCTGGCCTTCCACCCCCAGGTATGCTCCTCTGCCTTCTCATCCCTCCCCTCCTCTCACCCTCCCCTCCACTCATCCCTCCCCTCCTCTCACCCTACCCTGCACTCATCCCTCCCCTCCACGCATCCCTCCCCTCCTCTCATCCCCCTCTTCCCTCATCTCTATCACCACCACCATCGCCACCCTCGAAGCACCCCCGGGCCCCTGCTGAGACATGGCAGTTTGCTTTCCACCCCCTCTCTCCTCTCATCCGTACTCCCTTCTCACTCCTCCATTCTCATCCCTCCCCTCCTCTCATCCCTCCCCTCCTTGACTGTTCCGCGTGAGTCTTTCATGCCACACCACCATCGCCACTCTCCAAACCCCTTCTTCCGAAAATCAGCACCTTGCTTCCTACTTTAACCTGTTGCTGTTGCTGTTGCTGTTGCTGTTGCTGTTGCTGTTGCTGTTGCTGCTTCTGCTGCTCTATTGCTCACTTACCGTGTACTCTTGGCCAACCTCAGCTGCCCGTGCGCCTTGACCCTCACAGGCAGGCCGTCTGTCACCTTTTCCATCTTTCCACCACACTGCCCTCCCTTTCCCGCTTTCTAGCACCACCACTCAACCGTTATCACACCTCTCCATCCTTTTGTTTCGTCCATCCATCCACCCCACTGACCCCCCCCCCCCTGATACAACCCTCACAGGGCAGTTTTCTTGCTGTGGCGGGTGGCAGCAGCCAGGCTGTCAAGCTATGGAGCACTGCCACGTGGCAGGAGGCCACCACTCTCGACCTGCCAGCTGGACCCGCAGTGCCAGCCACTGCGGGCGGCAACAGCAGCAGCAGCAGCACGACGCTGGCTGGGCGGTTTGTTTTGTCTGTGGCGTGGAGCGTGGACGGCAAGAGGCTGGCGTGTAGCAGCATGGACGGCACTGTAGCGATCTTTGACACGTCAGCATCGCCCTTCCGGTTCCTGCATTTCCTGGAAGGTCACCACCTGCCTGTTCGCTCCCTCGCCTTCTCACCCATCGACCCCCGCATCCTCGTCACTGTGAGTCACTCTCAGCCTGCTTCTCATCCAAGTCACCTTCTTTTTCTTCTCCAAGTAGCCCAAATTCTTCCTTCATTATCATTCGTGTTTTGTGATTCATGAATCTGCTTTCTCACCGATCAACCCATTCTGGCTGTGCAACTCTCTCACATTCTCGTCAGTGCGTTGCGAACAAGTCGTGCGCGCAGCCGGCAAGCCACCATTGGAATGAATGAATGAATCACAGCCTGGTTTCTTATTTTTGGACACGACAGAACAAATGAAACGAAAGGGTTGCTCACTTGTAATGTCAGGTAGGGTGACTTGTAATGTCAGTTAGGGTGTTCCCATAGCCGCTGCTTCCGACAGTCAGGTCTATCTTGTATCACAGGCAAAGAGTTGGGAGTGATAATAGTGAGTTTTTGAGACGTCTCAAAAACTCACTTTTGACACGTGCTTCTGACAGTCAGGTCCATCTTGCATCAAAGGCAAAGAGTCGGGAGTTGCGGAGAGGGGATGGTGGGGCGCGTGCCATGAGGTTTGGCATTTGCGCCCTCACCGTCCAGTCCACCCTCGATGCCGTACACGCTTTTGACGAGTGACGATCATCAGCACACACCTGTGTGATGGGGAGGAGCATGAGAGTGTGTAACTGCCTCTGTCTCCCCCATCCTCCGCTGCCATTCCTGCCCTGCTTGCGCTCCTCCCACGCCTGGCGAGTGACGACTGGCACACAGACATGCATGACGTGAAGGGCAGGAATCGCACAGCAGCGCACACTCCGCCTTGCTCCTCTGTGATCCACAACGGCATTCCCCTGCCATCCTCAACCCCCTTCCTTCCTCTTCTCTCATGCAAGCGAGTGACGATCGGCACATACACGCGTACGACGTGGAGGGCATAAGAGTGTGTAGCTTGCTCGCTCTATCCTTTTTCCACCCTCACCCTCCCCTCCCCCCTCCTCCGCACCAGGCGCGAGTGACGATCCGTACACGCACATGTGTCACATGGGGGCACCAGGTGGTATAACTTGTTTTTTCTCTTTCCCCACTTCCTCCCCCTGGCCCATTCCCCCCATCCAGTCGAGTGACGATCGGCGCGCACACATGTACGACGTGGAGGGCTGGTAGCTCATAGCATCACTCCCAAACCACCTTGTCTTGCTCCTCTTCCTTCCTGCCACCCTCTCCTTTCCCCTCCCTGCTCCCCCCTCCCTCCCTCCCTCCCTCTCCACTAGGCAAGTGACGATCGCCACACACATGTGTATGATGTGGAGGGAAGGCAGCTCATAGCGTCGCTCTCAGGCCACACCAGCTGGGTGCTCTCGGCTGATTGCAGCCCTGATGGTGCTACTATCGCCACAGGTACATGTGCTTGTATAGGGGCTGCAATGAGTGCGGTTGTTCCGTCACCACAGCACCTCAGCAGCTCATAGCAGCTCATAGCATCGCTCTCAGGCCACACCAGCTGGGTGCTCTCTGCTAACTGCAGCCCCGTTGGAGCCACTATCGCCACAGGTACATGTGTGTGGGGGGCTTGCTATACGTGTTTGTGGGTGGGGCTACAGTGTGTGGTGGCTGTGGTTGTTCCTCATCACAGCAGCTCATGCCAGCTCATGCCAGCTCATGCCGACCCTCTCAGATCACATCAGCTGGGTGGCGCTGATGCGATTGCAATCCCCCAGGTGCTACAGATGCTGCTGCTGCGTCATTGCAACCATGCCACCGTGTCCTTTTGAAGGGAGCCTGGTTGATTCGAGAGACGACGAGGGTTCACATGCGCCACTTGCCACGCCTGCCGGTCTCAGTCACCCCTTCTCACTCCCTGTCACCGCTTCTCCCCCTTTGTCACCCTTTGCCATGCCTGCCAGTCCCAGTCTTTTCTTGGAACAAGCCTGTGTGGCATGAGGCACAGGAGTAGCACCACTTCCACCCTTTCCTCACTGCCTGCCTCTCACCCTCCCGCAGCACCACTCTAGCCCTGGCATTCGTGGGACATGCAGCAACGGACAGCACTGCACATAGCCAGGGAGCACAAGGACCAGGTGTGGCATCCTGCATCTCTCCTCACCCCTTCTCACGGCTTTGCACCGTTCTCTTCCTTTTGCTCCCCACAGCAGTCACCCATGAGGCTCTAGCTATCGCACAGTAAGCTCATGGGACATGAGGCAGAGAACAGCCCTGCAGGCAGCAAGGGAGCACAAGGACCAGGTGTGGGGTGTGGCATGCTGCATCTCTCCTCATTCTCCTTCACCCCTCCTCACCCCTCCTCACCCCTACTCACCCCTTCCCTTTTTCAAAACCCACCTTAACGTCACCCATCAGACTCCAGTGATCGCACAGTGAGGCTGTGGGACACGAGGCAGCGAACAGCTTTGCAGGTGGCGAAGGAGCACAAGGACCAGGTGCGGGGTGTGGCTTACTGCGTCCCTCCCAACCCCTTTTCATCCCTCTTCACCCCTTCTATTCCCTTACTCCCACCCTCTCCTGTCACCCATCAGGCTCCAATGATCGCACAGTAAGGCTGTGGGACATGAGGCAGCGAACAGCTCTACAGGTGACCAAGGAGCACAAGGACCAGGTGTGGGGTGTGTGTGTGTCTCACTCTCACCCCTTCAATCTGATCGCACCCCTTTCTCCCTCTCTCGTTTCTCCCTTTCCTGCAGGCTCTAGTGATCGACAGTAAGGCTGTGGGACATGAGGCAGCGAACAGCTCTACAGGTGACCAAGGAGCACAAGGATCAGGTGTGGGCTGTGGCGTTCCCTTTCTCACCCCTTTTCTCACCGTCGTACCCCTTTCTCTATCTCAACTCCCCCCTTGCTGCAGGCTCCAGCGATCGAACAGTGAGGCTGTGGGACATGAGGCAGAGAACAGCGCTGCAGGTAGCGAAGGAGCACAAGGATCAGGTGTGGGCTGTGGCATTCCGGCCCCCTGGGGGAGAGGGGGTGAGGGCAGGGCGGTTGGCAAGTGTATCAGATGATAAATCCATTTCCTTATACGACTATTCGTAAAAGGTAGTCTTATGAGATGTGACATGTTCTTTACAACAGATACTGTTGGGCTGAGAAAAAGCCCTTAAAGGATCTTTGCAGGACTAAATTCAGGGTAGGACAATGTAATAGCGGAAGCGTTTAATAAAAGGCTTGTGAACCACCTTGCGCTGGTATGTGAGGGCAAAGTTGATTGATTAATAACAAAGAGATACAAGCTTTTATAAGAATACAAGGGAATATGAAAGGTCATAACTAATAACCGTTTTACCATTGCTGTTGCGGTTCGATACAGTGACGACTCGGGCAACTGCTCAATAGCGAGTCAGTTGTTTGTCCTTGCTGTCGCGCTGTACTTGTCAGGTCAAAGGTCGCTGACCTTTGACTTTCGCGTAACCTCCAGCAGTTGTTCAACCTCCGAGGGTTGGCTCGCTGATGCTTCGATATGATCTGCTTCGCTTCTGTCTTAGTGTTTCGACACGACAGAGGCGCTTAAATCAATTGTTTCCAACAGATACATACCATACTCAGCAATACGTACTGATGCTCACCATAGGCATCGTTGTGGTGTCGTAGGGTTTGTGACAGGCCAATAGAGATTCTCCAGCCCAATAAAATTCTCCAGGCCAATAGAGATGTTGGGCTGAGAAAAAGCCTTAGGATCTTTTGGAGTTTAGTCTCTGTAAAGTATTGCAGCGGAGAAGACTTGAATTCATGTGCTGGTATATTGTGAGAACAAGAATTGATGATATCGTATTACCCCTAATAGAGGCGCACCTGCGCTTATAATAAAGCAGAGTTTTTTAGGGGGGTGCGCTTCTAATTGAGTCATTTTAATAAGCGCATGCGCTTATATAATGACAGATACAGATTTATATTTTATAGCATCAAAATGTACATCTGAGTCGTACCATTCCAATCGAGGCGAAATTTTATAGCGCCAAAAATCAGAATTGCATGCTACCGATTTTTTTCCAACACACAGGGGCAAAGAAACGTCAGTTTGCCCCTATGCCAGCACATCTTGACCTGACGCGCAGCTTCTGAGGTCTTCACGAGTCAAACGAAGCGATTAAGAAATTAGGCTCGCTTCAATTTTGAAACTCGTTACAATGTTTAACAGGTTTTAAATAAAAATTTATGCATGCGCTTATAATAAAACAGGATTTTACGGGGGTGCGCTAATAATTGAGGATCGGCCATAAGCGCATTGTGTCAAACTTATATCTACTATAGTCTATTTAGGCTGTAGTGGGGTAGTCCTTAGAGGGTACAACACTTTTGTGTTTTCTACTTGTACCCTTCTGCTTTCTAGTTCAATCACTCACTTCCTTCACTCATTCCTATTATTCTCACATGGTATAGAGCGAGTTTTTCCTAAGGGCCCACCACTAAAACGATTTTTTTTTTCCTTACCTGCCCGACGCGCGCGTCGCGCCTGACCTTCGCGGCCCGTAGTGGCCCCTCCCTCACGGCCCGTAGAGGCCCCTTTGCGCCCGTAGTGGCCCCTTCGTGGCCCGTAACGGCCCCCCCTTGCGGCCCGTGGCGACCCTTTCACGGCCCGTCGCGGCCCCTTCTAGGCCCGTCGCGGCCCCTTACGCGGCCCCGCATCGGCCCCTTCCGCGGCCCCTTACGCGGCCCCTTCTAGGCCCGTCGCGGCCCCCTTTCACAGCCCTTCGCGGCCCCGTCTAGGCCCGTCGCGGCCCCTTCCGCGGCCCCTTTCGCGGCCCCTTCTAGGCCCGTCGCGGCCCCTTCTAGGCCCGTCGCGGCCCCTTTTAGGCCCGTCGCGGCCCCTTTCACGGCCCGTCGCGGCCCCTTCTAGGCCCGTCGCGGCCCCTTCTCGGCCCTTCGCGGCCCCTTCTAGGCCCGTCGCGGCCCCTTCTAGGCCCGTCGCGGCCCCTTCTAGGCCCGTCGCGGCCCCTTCTAGGCCTGTCGCGGCCCTGCCCCGCCCTACAGCAGCCGCCGTCGCGGGCTGCCCCGCCCTGCAGCAGCTGCCGTCGCGGCCCTGCCCCGCACTGCAGCAGCTGCCGTCGCTGCCCTGCCCCGCCCTACAGCAGCCGCCGTCGCGGGCTGCCCCGCCCTGCAGCAGCTGCCGTCGCGGCCCTGCCCCGCCCTGCAGCAGCTGCCGTCGCGGCCCTGCCCCGCCCTGCAGCAGCTGCCGTCGCGGCCCTGCCCCGCGCTGCAGCAGCTGCCGTCGCGGCCCTGTCCCCACCCTGCTACAGCTGCTGTCGCGGCCCTGCCCCGCCCTGCAGCAGCTGCCGCGGAGATCCCTGCCGCGGTCGCGGCCCCTCCCTACCGCTGTAGCGACCCCGCCGTCGCTGCCGTCGTGCGCCTGCCCTTCCCACCACTGGTGAGCACTGTCCTGCCCGCGCTGCTCCTGCTGTTACTGCTGCTAATACTGCTACTGTTGCTCCTGCTGCTACTGCTGCTACTGCTGCTCCTGCTGCTCCTGCTGCTACTGCTGCTCCTGGCGTGGCCAGATGCAGCTCCAGGGCCGTCCTCGTGAGTCCCTCACGCCCCAGCAGCTTCGTGAGTGGTACGCTAGTTGGGGTTGTCGGGGTGGCCGTAGTGGGATTCGCCCTGGAGTGGGTAGTTCGGGAGCTTCTGGTAGTGGCCAGGTGCAGCTGCAGCGTCGTTCGCGTGAGGCTCTTTCGCCCCAGCAGCTTCGTGAGTGGTACGCGCAGAGTAGAGGGTCGCTGAGTCCTGCTCGCTGCCCGTACGTCATTCGCACGGGTGTCCGGACTGGTCAGCCTTGCGGGACGGTTGGTCACACAGGGTCCCGCTGCTTCGCCCGTCTGAGCGACGCCTGGAGTACAGAGTTTGGCGACGTCGCTGAGCTCCCTGACTGGGTGGAGCTGCTTAGGCAGAGGGTAGATATTTTTGCTCTTGACTACGATGCTATCCTCACTTCCATATATGCATTGTCTACTAGTGCTGAGGGTGCCTGTCACGTATGTCTGCCGCCTGACCCCGGTATCCAGTCTGCTGCTCTAGGTGCTGGTGAGGCTGCTGCTCTAGGTGCTTGTACGTCTCCTGCTTCACGTGCTGGTGAGGCTGCTGCTCTAGGCGCTGGTGAGTCTACTGCCCCAGGTACTGGGGAGTCTGCTCTCTCTGGTGCTGCGCCTGCCGCGGTCTTGCACACTTTCACACTTGACTCTGGTGCTTCGCGCTCTTTCTTTAGAGACAGCACCACGCTCACGCCGCTCAGTCGGCCTGTTGCGGTCTCCCTGGCTGACCCCTCAGGGGGCCCAGTCCTAGCACACTCCTCCACTGTCCTACCGTGTCCTGCGGCCCCGTCGGGCTTGCTGTCGGGACTCCACCTCCCCTCGTTCTCTACGAACCTGGTGAGTGGAGCTGACCTCCAGGACGCGTGGGTTGACCAGTTCACCCCTGGAGGTCAGCGTGTGACCCACTGCACTTGCTCTCGGACGGGCCGCCACCTGGCCACATTCACCCGTCGGCCAGGGTCGAGTCTGTACACACTGACTACTGCGCCTCCTCCGGTCTCTGCGTCTGGTCAGGTAGCTGCGTCCAGTCAGGTGTTTGCTGCGGCGTCCAGGTCCAGTCCTGCGTCTGCCCCCTGCTCGTGTCGTCCTCTGGCACACGAGACTCTCCTTTGGCACCACCGCCTTGGTCACCCCTCCCTGCCTTGTCTTCGAGGTATGGCCTCCCGTGCCCTTGTCTCGGGTCTACCCAGGTCCCTCCCTCCCCTTCCTCCGGGGCCTGCCCCCACCTGTGTTCCTTGTGTCGAGGGCCGGCAGCGCGCCGCCCCTCACTCCTCCTCGTTTCCTCCGACTGAGGCTCCTCTGCAGACTCTTCACATGGACGTGTGGGGCCCAGCCCGCGTCCGTGGACAGGGTCACGAGCGCTACTTCCTCCTGGTCGTTGATGACTACTCGCGTTACACCACAGTCTTCCCCTTGCGAAGCAAGGGTGAGGTTCCTGAGGTGTTGATCGACTGGATCCGCGGTGCTCGTCGCCAGCTCAGTGAGAGTTTCGGCTCAGACCTTCCTGTTCTGCGTCTGCACTCGGACAGAGGCGGGGAGTTTTCCTCCGACCTCCTGAGGGCCTTCTGTCGCCTGAGGGTACTGTGTCTGGAGGTGCTGAGCCTGCGCGTGCTGAGTCTGGAGGTGCTCTAGGTGTCCCGTCGCGGCGGGAGCCCCTCTCTCCGCAGCGGCTTCGTGAGTGGTACTCTCGGCGCTGTCGGGTTGCTGCTGGAGGTGCTGCTGGTGCAGGAGCTGCTGGAGGTGCTGGCGCTGCTGGAGGTGGTGCTGGTGCTGGAGCTGCTGGAGGTGCTGGTGCTGCTGGAGGTGGTGCTGGTGCTGGAGCTGCTGGAGGTACTGCTGGTGCTGGAGTTGCTACTGGAGCTACTGGAGGTGCTGGCACTGCTGGAGGTGGTGCTGGTGCTGGAGCTGCTGGAGCTGCTGGAGGTGCTGGTGCTGATGGAGGTGGTGCTGGTGCTGGAGCTGCTGGAGGTGCTGCTGGTGCTGGAGGTACTACTGGAGCTACTGGAGGTGCTGGCGCTGCTGGAGGTGCTGCTGGTGCTGGAGCTGCTGGAGGTGCTGCTGGGACTGGAGACCCTGAGGCTGAGGGTACCGGTTCTGTCTCTGCTGTTTCTGGAGGCGCTGTGCGGCCGCGGCCGTACTACGTTCCGCTTCTTCAGCAGGTTCTTGGCTCCCCGCCTTCTCCTGGTCCTCCTCCTCCTTCCCTGAGTCCACCGCCTGTCCCGTCTCAGTCGCAGTTACAGCCGGCCTCTCCGCTGCCTGGTCCTTCTCCTTACTCTGGACCGACTAGAGGTCTTACGGAGCGTCGTGAGCCTGAGTCGCGTCCTGTGTCGCCTGTGTCTCGTTCTACGTCGCCTGTCCGTTCAGTTCGCGCTGGTCGTGTTTCGCGTCCGCGTCTTCCTCCTGTCCCAGGCACTCACTCTATGACACTGCGTCCTTCTACTGCTCCACAGCGTGTCCCTCTCCCCTCTCCTCCTGCGTCCTCTCTTCCTGACGGTCCGGACCCGGAGTCTGACT